GTATCGACGTGAGGCTGACCTACGGTAATTGTTTGGGTCATCCTTTTGTTTGGGTCATCCAATTAGGTAGGAAGATATACCGGAACAAAGTAGTTCAGGGAAGTAGTTCATCAAAGTCCATGAAAAACAAAGGCAAAAACTTCTCTAATAAAATCCAAAAAAACAGGAAACATGAATCCAAGGCATGAATATAAACGCATAGAATCAAAACCATGCAACAAAGGCACTTAAGCATGGATCTTTCCAAGCAAACAAGGCGCATCAAGCCAACCCCAACCGGGACCGCCTTCCACCCTCATAGCTCAAGAATAGGGCTCCACAGTTACCTACGGACCCACCGCCAGGACACTACACTTGGAGAACCATCATCCTTGGACTACGAGGGATCGCCTAAGTAAGTACGTACGTAAGAATCCAGATCATCAAAGCAGATAGTCCACATTATTTGCTTTGAACTGGATTATAGGAGGCCCCTTCTCCTCTGCCAGAGAAAATCCAGATTGCCTGCTTTGCACTGAATAATACAGCAGTGTGGAATCAGATAATCCAGTTCAAAGCAGATGATTAATTATTATTATTATTATTATTATTAATAATAATAATACTTTATTTGTACCCCGCTACCATCTCCCCAAGGGACTCGGTGCGGCTTACATGAGGCCGAGCCCAAATACAACAATACACGCAATAATAACAACAATACAAGCAATTAAAATTTAAAAAAACATGGACAATAAAATATGCAACATTAACAATAAGACAACACACAATTAAAACTGTGGGAAGGCCAAATGTAAAGTTAAAATTGAAAGTAATGCTGGAGCATGGGCGAAAAAGCGATAGTGGCGTTTGTGGAAAACGTACAAGCAGAACTAAAATGTCAAGTGCTTTGGAGGACAAAGTGCTATGGGATCATTATTCTGGGAACGCGGACTGGAACAGCCACGTCTTCAAGCTCCTCCTAAAGACTGCCAGGGTTGGGGCCTGCCTGATGTCCTTAGAAAGTGAGTTCCAGAGTTGAGGGGCCACCACCGAAAAGGCCCTCTCCCTCTTCCCCACCAATCGCGCTTGCGATGCAGGTGGGATCGAGAGCAGGGCCTCTCCAGATGAACGAAGAGATCGTGTGGGTTTGTACACAGAAATGCGGTCACGCAGGTAGGCGGGTCCCAAACTGTTCAGGGCTTTGTAGGTAAGAATCTGCACCTTGAATTGGGTCCAGAAAATGAATGGCAACCAGTGGAGATCCTTAAACAGGAGTGTTGACCACTCCCCGTACGGAGCCCCAGTTAACAACCTGGCTGCCGCCTGTTGGACCATCTGAAATTTCTGGGCCGTTTTCAAGGGCAGCCCTACGTAGAGTGCATTGCAGTAATCCAGTCTAGAGATGACTAAGGCGTGGACCACCTTGGCCAGATCCGCCTTCCCGAGGTACGGTCGCAGTTGGCGCACGAGTCTCAGTTGTGCAAAGGCCTTCCCAGCCACCGCCGACGCCTGAGCCGCAAATGTAAGAATCCAGGAGGACACCCAGACTGCAGACCTGTGGCTTCAGGGGGAGTGCGACCCTGTCCAGCACAGGTTGCCACCCTATACCTGGATCTGGTTTACGATCGACCAGGAGGACCTCAGTCAAATACAAAATTTGTGAGTTTGGTAGTTGGTTAGATGTCCTTTGACCCGTATCTGTCCCCTTGGAGTGCCTCTGGTGTTGCCACAAGAAGGTCCTCCCTTGTGCCTCATGTGGCAGGGCTTAGGTTGCATTGCAACAGGCGGTGAGTGTTTGGCTCTTCTCCACACTCGCATGCCGAAGGTTGGCTCTGCATCTCGTGGTGCCAGAGCGCAGTCTGTTCAGCGCCTTCCAA